CACGTGACAATCATGGAAATTTTTCATGATCGTTACGTACAAATTTCTTTTATTTAAGTTGATCAAAGAACCTTTGTGACCAACTTTACAGAGATGATTTTTGTGATGATACTAGAGAGATAATATGACTCAAATATTTGGGCCAAATGGCATATTTTAAAGCCATTGTAAAAATTTATGCCCTTCATTTGAATCATTTTGAGCATGCTATACTGCGGCAATGGAGTTTCCTATGTGACACAAGTCTTTAGGTGTCATTACGGCCAATTATAGTAAAGATTTTTATAAAAAAATTTTTTTTCTAGTTCAACTTTTGTTTAATTATTTTAGCATACATATTTGTATGTTAAAATGTATGGTTTAAGGAATAATATATTTAATTCATAATCTGCCAGTGAACCAGTGAAATAACATAGTAAATGAGAATGCGTCAATTAAAACAAGGCTTATGGCATTTTTTACAAAATTGAGTTAGCTATACCATCATATAGAGTAGATATAATTTGACATTTAAAGCATCGATTTGTATAATAAAATTTTTTTGATGCCTACATTTTAAAATGCTGTATATAATTAAACATGATCTAAAATTAGAATTTGGTTATTCAGTTGTCGATCACTGCTGCAGAGTTATAGAAAAGGCTCATTTGATTGGCTAGCATATGTCGATCAAACAGGTTATACTAATAATAGATTGTCATTGTTATTGTTACACCAAATTTTAAACATGATTTTCTCAAAATAGAAGAAAGCCATAAGCCTTGTTTTAATTGACGTAGCCTCAAATATTGGGAATAAGTTTACTATGTAAATTTTGCCTTTTTCAGAATTTGAAGTTTCTCAAAGAAAAAGTTTTTTCCTTACTAAGTAAACTCTTTTCGACACCTAAGTAAAGTTGTAGAGGAGTGTTTTGCAATCAGAATGGCAGTTAAAATGTTAAAATCAACCCAGTGAATTAAGAGATATAAGCATTTTAGTCTTTGCTATTTAGTGATTTGAACTGAGAAAACTTCTCTTAATCGGTTAACCGAAACTAATTATTTCATTCAACCGATTACCAACCGGTTAAGATTAAATCTACACTGCCTTTAGAAATTTTCAGAGCATTGCTCTAATTTTTTGTCTTGACCTGCTTGTCTTTTATGTTTATTTATTTTCTTGTCAGAACTTTTTGGATCTTTACACTCTTCTATGTTATTTTGACATTTTCTTATACCATATTGATCCCATCAACTGGTTGTACCGGGTCAACCGATTAAGAATTTTCTCAACCGGTTACTCAAAATTTATTCGGTTCAGATCGGTTAACCGATTATAGCTCAACTGATTCAAGTCACTATTGCCATTATATGTTTTCTTCTTTATTTATATTATATAAAGAAAACATATAGTCGTGAAGTCCAAAATGCTTATATCTCTTGATCCACTAGGCCGATTTTAACATTTTAACCACCATTTTGATCACAAGACACTCCTATACAACTTTACTTAGGTATCGAAAAGAGTTTACTTAGTAAAGAAAAAACTTTTTCTTTGAAAAACTCCAGATTCCAAAGACAATAGTAAATTTTCTCACTTTTTACTATGTGTTTTTACTAGTTCACTGGCAGATCACAAATTAAAAATAAATAATTCTTATTGTATGTCAGCTTAGATAATACTTGAAAGGTAAACTATTTAATAAAGGTTTGTTTTTAAGCGTATAATTGGCATTAAAAAAATTAAATAAACACTTATCACAATCAATAAAGAGTTTTTTTAAAAAAATCTAGAAAAGACAAATAAAATAAATAAAATATCTGTTACATTAGGCAACTCATGAATAAATAAAATTTTGTACAGTTAGCATTCATTAGTGATTTGAACTGAGAAAAATTTTCTTAATCGGTTAACCGAACCGAATTATCTTATTAAACTGATTGCCAACCAGTTAAAATTAATAATATCTATACTTTCAAAAATTCTCAGAGCTTTACTCTAATTTTTATCATAACTTTTCGGATTTATATGTCATTTTGACATTTTCTTATGTCATATTAATCTGGTTAACTGATTAAAAATTTTCTCAACCAGTTACCCAAAATTTATTTGATTCGGGTCATTTAACCGATTATAGCTCAACTGATTCAAGTCACTATATTAGGTTCATGAATCTATACAACACCACTAGATTAATAGCCAGACTTAAGATGGAACTGTATGTTCTGATTTATCCTTGAGATAAACCTGCCAGAGTGGTACATTCTCATATATGTATTCACCAAGACTTCAGTAACTTACACCATGTCTTAATTTATATACTTTGGTCAGAGTGTAACTATTAAACCCCTACCATTACCTACTTCTACTCTTTTAAGGTTCACAAACCCTGTACTATATTCTATCACTTTCTACACTTTACTTCTTTTGGTATTGTCATTCTCCCAATCCAGATGGCCCAAAAAGATTGGTTTGCCCAGACCCAAGTTTTCTAGGCTTAAGTATGAAAGTCTCCTAATTCTTGGTCCACAATTTTGTAACATGTAACCTTTTCTCCTGGATAACCAGCAGCCTGGTTGGTAGATCTCTCTTGTCTGTAAATCTTTGTTGCACAACTTCTCCAATTTTTGAGGTCTAGTCAGATTTGTTCTATAGTATCAGGTAACACCTAGTTAGAATAGTCTGCTACTTCCTTAATTGGGATTTGCCAAGCTAGTTTTGGTTCTCTCAGGCTACTATGTGTAGGTCTTTAATATACAGTGATCCTGGAAGGCTTATTATAGATTTGCACCCTATATCAGTTTGCATTTCTTTGTACAATGATACAAATGCTTCCACATCTCCTAGCGCCAACTTGGGGTGTTAATATGCTCTAGTTTACAGATATAAAACCTAGCCCAATTTAGAATAAGCTATTACTATAACACAAGTAAATTATTTGAAATGTCAACAGTGAAATTCAAACTCAGTACTATAGCTAACAAACTTGGGGTGCGACAACTCCACCACTTTACTACATCACCACACCCAAAAATATTTAGATTTTATAAAGTTGTTTGTAAATATTTGTATATATAAATTTTTGTACAAAATTTTAAATTTTTTTTAATAATTTCTGTGCAGATTTCTAAATTTTTTTCCAAAATCTCTACTAGAGTTACAATTCTATACAGATTTTTTACTAATTAAAAGAATTACATTTCTGTATAAATTTTTACTAAAACAATTTTTCAATAGTATAATTTATATTTATTATAGTGAAGTTTCTAGGCTAAGAAAACAATCTTTACTATAGCTTATTTTAAGAAATACTATATATTTTATTATATCAAGGTGAAATTTAATAGATTTTCATTATATTGAATCTTTATTATAATGAAAATTTACTATTTCTTAATTTGTAATGCAGGCAAATTTGCCTATGTTTTTATTAAAAATTTTGAATATTAATTTTAGCAATATATTTTCTAAGTAAAATATTTAAAACTATTATAATTTAGCGACAATGGCAGAGCGTAGTCCAAAATTTCAAAAATTGATCATTATTTTGTGTAACAGTTATGAATTATCAACCTTCTTGTGTAATATGATCTTACAATATTACATACCTGATACGTACGTACTAAATTTTTTTTATCAGTTGTATTAAGTGAAAAATTAATTTTTTAAAATCATTCTATTTTAGAAGGCTTTAACTCATTAATATAATAATAAACTATCTTGAAATTTTTACTATTATAAAGTGCTATAAATTATGCTTTAGGATTGAATTATTTTAGTTAATTTACCTAATACGTACATATGAGTGTACATGATTATTTTAAAAATTAATAAATTAAAGGATGATACTGCATTGTACATTATTAATTAAATAGTTCTTATTTGATAACTCAATCAATTGGTTAATATGTAATTACTATTAATTACTATATCGATCGATTTACTTTATATTCACTAAAATTCTATTTTGATTTTTAAATTTAAATATCACCCAAAGACTTGTAATGGCGCAAATTGACTATATACTATTTTTAAATAAATAAATTATGGGTCTAATCTTCTATGCCTATTTGCACTAATAAGTAAAAATTCCAATCAATACACAAATTATACAATCGTCATATTCGTTAAGAAAAAAAAATTAACTTTTGATATGCATTGAGATAGTATAATGCTAAATATGAAATTTGTCTAGAAATTTGAATAAACTTAAATTTCAATTAATCTAAATTTTAAAAAATTGTGAACTAATAATGAATCTGAACTTCTGAACTGAGAAATAATATTTAAAAGTTAAACAGTATATATTTTTGTAATATAATTGAAAACTTTTATTTTCAGGCAAAAAATCAAGCTTCTAAGAATTTTTACCTAAGAATTTTTAACATTTTATATATGAATTTCATTTAATGAATTATTAAGATCACAGAGATGTCAGAAAATATAAAGTTCTTAAGAGTAACTCTAAATAAAAAGTTGTTAAATTAAAATTCATTAAAATTTATTCGAATCATTTATCACTATAACTTACTAAGACCGAATATTCTTAACAAGAAAATTTAAATTTTCACTAATTTAGATTTCACAACTATGATATTTCAATTTACAAACGTTGTCATTTTTGAATGTTCATATTCTGCTAGAATTTGAGAAATGAATTAAATTACCAAGTTTTATCATAAACTATATTTTAATAAGAAAACTAACCTTTACTGTAAAAATAGCATCCAAGGTTTTGATTGACTCCAAGTATTACTACGTTGCCTTTTGCATTGAGATGATTCTATGTCATCAATAATAGTAAATGTATGCTTCATATTATCAACAATATTTTTTACATGTTGCAGGTTGTTTGCTGATAATTCATCATTTAAATGCTTTACAAGATATTCTAATGTTACTATTTTGGACTTGCATTGTTGGTGAAGGTTGGGGTCAATATTTTCATTATTATTATCAGTAATAATTAAATCATTCTTAATGTTTATTTGTGTTGATAGCTTATTATTAAAATTAAGAGGTTAATCATTAAGAGGTTGTTTATTAAGAGGTTGTTCATTAAGAGGTTGTTCATTAAAATGCTGGTTTTGTAAATTGGGACTGCTACTCCTTAAAGTTAAAAATGAATAATCTGTATTCCATTCAAAATTAGAATACACTAATCGAATACCTTCAGAATTATGCAATTTTTCTTTCTCAATCACACAGCAGACCAAATGTTTGCAGATAAGAAATCTGCTATATCAATAGGTTTAGATGAAAGCAACTTCCACTGTCTTTTAAAATCATCAAACCATGATGAAACTATTCGGCCAAGACACATTTGCTGATAGCAAATGATTTGATCATGTAGTACAAGGGAAGAAATTCCATACAAGATAGTCTAACCGAGGTCGATTATAACAATATAGATAGCAATATTTAAGCACTTTCCAATATACTTCAATCAACATATTTGTCTTTCCAATAGAAACTGTTAATCTTACTGAACGAGCCCAAAGGCACCAACATTCCATTTTGTACCATGAAGACCAAAGATAAGACTATAATAATGTAAGACCATTGGTAAAGCAAAATTCATACATTTCATATACTGCATTTTTGTGAATTTCATTTGGAGTTAAAAACAGTCCACTTGCATTAACTGGAAATTTAGAATGTTGGTTAAAATGCATTTTAATAAAGTCAAAAACCTTTTGTTGAAGATGTTGAGGACAGATTTCATTTTCTAGTTCTTTCAGATTTGGCTTAAAATTTAGATCTATAAATTCAAATTCCATAGCAGCATCTTCAGGTTAGTACTGAATACATTGAACCTTTTTACAACACTTGAGTTTTTGACTAATTGCCCTTTTCACGTGCCACTGGCAAAGTTGTAAATCAGCATTAGGCCAAATTTGCTTTGCAGCATTAATTTCTGAAAAGTACTTATCTGTGTAAAAGTAGTCAGGATATAAACCTCTATTGTGAATTGACTCAAAAAACTACTTAGAGCATGTGTTCGTTTTTCATTTTGTGGTTTCTCATCAGAAATTTTAGTAGTATCTAAAATTAAATAAGCCAATGGAAACCCTGCACCCTTAACATTACAAATAAGCCCATACAATTCAAATCGTCCTTTCACAGTTTTGTAGGTGGTGTCACAGTGAATTTAGACATTTGTTTAATTTTTCTCTACAAGGGTGTAATAAACCCAATCGCAGTTATTTGACTAGTCATTAACTCATAACAAAGTTCACAACCTGCGGCTTGGTTTGATTTGAGAAAAGAATATGCTGAATTAATATGATCATCATCAGTCTTATAAAAATTTTGAGTAAAAAATGACTACCAATATCTAATTTGCTGCAATGTAATTTTCAAAATATCAAACTAATTATAAAGATACGTTCTAAGTTGTACAGGATCCATATGAATATTTTCTTGAATTGCTAGTTTGATTTCTTCAGGTGTTGAAACATCAACCAATCTTTCATGAAAAATTTCATGTTTAAGTTTTACCGTCACCTTAGCCGCAAGTATATCAATATGTATAATTAGTGTTCCATGACAATTAAAACGCTTTATTCTTGGACGATTTGATTCCTTGTAATCACATGATTGAGAATATCCAAAGTAGAAAGTGCCGACATTTTTATAACAAGTTGACATATGAGGTGCTGTTTTTACTCTTCAAAAATTTAACAAAAAGTCTCATTAATTCTAATAAAAATACATTAAATTTTATTTTTTTAAAAACTTATTAACTTTTTCTAATACTTACACCCAGGAATAACCGTCACCTTCTTCAATATTGTTAACAATCATATTGGCAATTGACTTGATATTGCAATTTTGATCAGACATATTGACATCAACATGTATTGTAAAAGATAATCTCATGTCATTCTCAAGACTTTCCATTAACTCCATAACATATTCATTTAAATCATTTAATGAAATTGTTTCAATAGTTTGATTATGATCAGATATAGTTTTTTTATTAGCCCTTGTCTTAGCTTTATTAGTTAAACAAGTTGCACAAGTCTTATACGTTTTTTTATCAAGCACAAAAGCTTTAGGAGGATGTTGATGTTTATATGAAGTACATTTTATCATCATGAAAAAAAGGCAAACATAAGGTATGTCTACAAGTTTTTTTTTTTTTTTTGTCATGTGTATATCAAATATAGTAAATATAAAATATAAGAAAGAGAATAATTTTCCAATTACTTTTCTTTATTGAATAAATTTAATGACATAATTTTTACGAAATGTTTCATTGTAATGTAGTACGCAAATATAGATACAGTGTATACTATAAGCATATATTTTTTTTTAATCGCTTTTCTTTTATATATTGAATAAATTTAATGACATAATGGGTTGGGATCCCGCGGCCTAGTGGTCTAGGCACCCAACCCTCCACGAGCGGGTTTCGGGTTCAAGTCCTAGTAGGT